GTTTTAAGGGAACAGAGTTCAGGATTTGAAGTATATATTTTATACCACATTTCTAATTCACACAATCACGTATATTTCAACGCTTTGGCAAACATTTCTTTATTCTTTCCTATGTACAGAATAAAGTTACAATTGTACATTAAATAATTCGTATCGTATACGGGCTACAAACGAGAAAAGGTCGACGTTAAAACGTATTGTCGTACAAAGTCTGCTCGCTTTCCTAAGATCTTCTGATATTTCTAGTACGTGCGTATCACGGGTGTATCATTTAATTAGGAAGCATATACTTTACTGCGCTACTATACGTACACGTGTTCATAGTCTTTATTTAGTTTGCATCATGCTATCGATTTCTTGTCTCCTGTTTTAGTATGATTATGTTTACTCAAGTATAAAACATTGACTGTAACCACTATCCTTAACATTTCAATTCCATTATATATTTAATTTCTATTTTTGTTTTTAATTAATTGGCTTACATCAGCATTTCAAATAAATGAGTTAAAAAGTAACAAGTTTCAGTAAACGAAAATCTACTTGCCTGCAAGGTATAGGGTTTATAAATTAACGAGGTAAGCGCGATACATTTTTAAGCCATAAATATTTATTTGTTTCCTATTCTGTTCTTGTTTTTTACTGAAAGATGATATGGCCAATTACAAAAAGATCAACTTCTGTCGTTTCTTACTACCTTCCTTTTTAAACTATTATGTACATAGTTTGGATCGATTAATTTTTACACTATTTTTCATCTTTTTTAAAAGCAACGTCCTGTTCACGACTGCCGTTTTGCTAACGAAAAATAATAATAATAATAATAATAATCTTACTTCTTTTTTAAAGAGAGGATTAATCTGCTTTGCACGTGAATTTAATGCTCGAATAAAAGCAGAGGGAAAAGAAATTTCGTAGATTGTTGAGAGATTAAAGGCAGCAGATCAACGTTTTCATGTACTGTAGTTTTTTCGTCTTTCTTTTTTGGTTTGACAAGACGTTATGTTTCTTCTTTTTATTCTACCGCGGTCCGAAAAATCACGACGGTTTTACCAACGGAAGCGACGATTTATGGTCGTACGATGCGTTTCCATTGAAAATTTGATTAACGACCGTATACGTGAAACCGAGTCTGGTTGATTCCGTCCGTGTATTCTATTATTCGATGGCAATTCCTAGGGACAGGAAGATTGATTTCAATCGATCAACGATGAAATTCACGGCATTAAAAA